TCTCTCTCTCACTCTCGTATAGCCATCGTGTTTTATCCCTCTCCTACAAGAATCTGATCACCTCCATCATCGTCATCATCGTGAGCAGCTCTCCCGCACGCAGGTCTTGGCGAGTCTCTTTTCCGGCATTCATCATCACCATCGACGTTCTTTTCTTAGCCACTGGACACCGCAAGGGTCATCGTCACGCACCACCATATGTTCGTGAGTAGTCCTTGTTTCTGGCGTTCCTTTGTCTTCGCGTGAGCAGACATCACCATTCTCGTCGTGAGCAGTAGTCCGGCGAGTCCCGCCACCTCCGTTCACTGTCAGGCCACTGCTGCTCCTTCGCGTGTATGGCACCACCGTCTATTCCCGGCGAGCTTCAGCTGCCATTGCCATCTCTGTCAAAAGAACCCCGCCGTCACCTCCACTGTTGTGCCTGTGCGCGAGCTCGACGAGTTCCAGGTCAACGTTCTGTCCCGTCGACCATCCCGTGCACGTTCCGTTGAGTTCCAGCCACCGGCGAGTCTCAGCCTTCGCTCGTGAGTCCTCGTCGTCACCTGCTCTGCCCCCATTCTCGCATTTCAGGCCGCCACAAATAGCCGTCCCACAGCCGTTGTTCCTCCACGCGAACCGGTGAGCCAAACAATGTTGTCGAGCCCGACGTGCATGCTCTCGGCCCCCGAACAGCCCATCTCAGCCTTTTTTCATTTCGTTGTCGCGTGTTAACCCCGAGAACGGTACCGAGGCTCGAATCCCTTTCGTATAATTGATGCTTTTATATGTTATATGTTAAAGCCCTTGTGATTCATGCTTGCTCGACTCGTTATTTGTATGTGATTGTGTGTATGGTTCGAATTTATGTGATGTGGTGTTAATCGAACATGGGAGTAGTGATTCGTTTCTTTGTCTATGTGCGTCGTATAAATGTTATAAGATGAGTTGGGGTTGTTTCGATTCGATGCATAAGATGTTGGGACTTAAATGTTCAAGTTTCGTTGTCAAAATCCATGATTATTTGCATATTCGATGTTCTGTTATACTGCTTAAAGGACCCTCAGAAACTTATTATCTGGTATCGGGTCCTTCATATGAAATGACTTTCAATCTGTTAGCTTTAGCTGGGCTCTGGAATCATGTGATTCCGACTTGAAACGAATAAGTTATGATTTTTATAAAATTGTCGCGCAAGCAGTTTTTTACAAAACCCGACAGTATGTACTTATTTCATGTATGATATGTTTATGGTGTTCTAATGTGCTCAAACGATTTTGTGGTCTTTATGAAATGTTAGAGCTGTTTCTTAGCTTTCCATACATATATAGTTCAAGTCGAGGTGATGTCTGTAGTAAGAGATAAGCTTGTTTTTTTGAACCTATGCATGTGCTGTTTTCCAGATTTTTGGGCTGAAACATGTTCATTGATGTCTTCATGATAGTTATAAGTCTTTTTCTTAGCTTTCTAATGAGGTAGAATGCATTCTGATAGGAGCTATGTAGCATGAGTTGAAGTCATTTCACTGAAGTGTGGTTTCTAGCGTGAACTTGTTTCTGACAGATTTCATGAACCGCATGTTTTGTGTTTAAACTTGTTGATAATGTTGTTATTTGCCAATGTCATCTTCAGAAATGTTGTGGATAATCGACTTAGTTATTTATTAGTTTTTGAATCAAGTCATTTAGAGGTCTGTAGCTTCATTTATCTTGCAAATACTGAGGTCCCGTCAGCTGTTAAATTTTAAATGGTGGTCTACAACTTGGTTTTATATGTTTGATTATTAATCTCCTTCTAAATGCCCTTATTTTTTTTCGGTGTCTTCATAAGAATTGTAGAGGCATGTCTTAGGGTTCTAGTGCAATTTGAATCAGGTTGATATGGTTTGTGTGCTGCAAGTGATGTTGATTTTAAAAACACTGCACGGGTAAAGTTTTGAAAAAATTCATGTTATGTGTTCGGAAATGATGTGTTTGTTTTGACTGCATGATTTTATGAACTATGTGGCCAAGTTGAATCGCGTGAGTGTAGTTATAAGTGTTCATGTGTTGAATAGTCATTTATAGGACTGTTTTATATAATGCAGGTGTTTGAGGAGTCGAGCTTCGACCTGCGTTTTGCTATTTGTGTGCTCTGTCTACCTCGTCAACAAGGTGGATTTTATTTAAAATTATCTATGCCATGAGTGATAAAATGTTTATTTATGTGGGTATGATCAATGTATGCATGTGAACATGTAACCTTCGACGTGAGCTGTACCAACCGTCGAACAGTTATCCCCATAGTTATAGAACATACCCCGAGAGGGTAATCTCCTTTTATCTGTCTAAAGCACTAGGTGCTGACAGTTGTGCCTCCTACTATTTGGGCATCAATGTAAGGCTCGAGCGAGAGCATTCGATACGTGTATCAACAGTTGGATTTACTCCTACTGGTTGGGCATCGTTGTAAGGCCTGTGCGAAGGCATTCGATACGTATATCAGCAGTAGTCTATTGTTATAGGTGTGCACATGAGATATTTATGTAATTTGGATAGGAGATGGGATATTGAATGATTTATGTTCATATTGCAACCATGCCATTTACTTTTTTGTCTTTTATTATTGTTCATGTGCATAGTGGTGAGCATTACGGATTTCAATTATTCTCATCCCCACCTACTCTTCATGGATGCAGGTTAAGCGGGTGTCGAATGATGAGGCAAAGACGAGTGGTGGTCGGTAGTTTGACCTGACCTCATTTACTGGCTTCCGCTTACATTTATGAACTTTAGATTATTGACGTTATTTATGAGCACTAGTTTTAATTTTGCATTGAAAACTGAGGATTTACGATTCATGACATTGGGTATTTATAATTTACGATTTACGAACTCTGAGATTTTGAAACCTTGGATTGGGAGATGTTCCCATTTGTAAAGTTTGATTAACTTTGGATTTATGAAAACGTTGGTTGAACGTTGAATTATGAATTATGATACTTGCGAGTATGATATATGTGATGATAATTTATGAATTCATGATGAGTAACTCCATTGATTTTACGAAAAGAATTTTGAAAGATTTAAGTTGCCTTTTGAAAAGTCGTTGACTTTTGTCATATAAAAATGGGGCGTTACAGAATTATGATTTATGATACTTGCTAGTATGATATATATGATGATAATTTATGAATTTATGATGAGTAACGCTATTGATTTTACGAAAAGAATTTTGAAAGATTTAAGTTGACTTTTGAAAAGTCATTGACTTTCGTCATATAAAAGTGGGGCGTTACACGATATTTGTGTCTTCTAATTATCTAACTCCTATAAATTCGTTAATTAGTAGCTTAGCCAAAATGTTTAGATATTCTATGTTATCTTCTGGCTTATTCCAAAGGTTGTCAAGGCTTGGAGGGTTTGAATCCAACAGTTTCTAACATTTGCTTTCATTTGAAGTTCCAAGTATGTTTTCAATGTCTTAGATATTCAAAGGCTTATTTATTAGTTTGCATTGCTACTAACATGTAGTTATACCATCCTTTATAAAATAAGCACAAAAACATAACAAAACACTTAACAATTGCCCATAATAATGTGATGAGACCTTTATGGTGAATGCTTATTTTGTTAACAACCAGTGTTAAAATTGGAGATGGGTTCGACTAATCCATGCAAAGGATGACAAATTTTCACTATATATATGGATTTAGCTTTAAAGCTAAGATTTGTTGGTTAAAAAATTTGAATGATTTTTCTTCCGTATCTTTAAGTTTTTGCTTAAGCTTTATCAATTGTTCAAATGTTTGAGAAATTATGTTTGTCTTACGTTCTTTTATATATTTTGGGTAAATCCCAAAATTTTTCTTCCATTATTAAAAGAATTTTTTTCATTTTAATTTTGATTTATACTATTTTATTTGCCATTAAATAGGTTCTTCTAGTAATAAGGGTATTGTTGTATTTAATACTGCTAAAATGACTAAAAGTTAAGACAAAAATTAGAAATTTCATTTGGAAATGTCTGAATAATATTCTGCATGTCCTTACAAACCTGCACACAAGAGGTGTATCACTAGACACAATATGTAAACAATGTGGTGAGGAGGAGAGGTCACTGGAACATCTGTTTTTCAGCTGCAACAGAGCAAAACTCATCTGGAGATTAGCCCTTGTATCCTGGGAAGGGTTGCACGCTGACACAAATCTGCTTTAAACACTGGTGGAAATAAATGTGGTCTTTTAACCACAATCCAGTTGTAGAAGTCAGAATTCAACTGACTAACTATCTATTATGGTGGATGTGGAAAACAAGGTACCTTTTGATTTTTTAGCATACTGGAGGTCAGAAGTGCGCACAAGTCAACTTAGCATTTCAAGATTGGGCCGAATTCTCCCTTTGTACAGGTTTATTGGTTGTTAGGTTGTTGCTAATGCTCTTATTTTTCTGCTTTTATTTGTGAGTAGTTTGTAGTGTTTCTTTCTTTAGTGTTTTGTTAGCTTACTATGTCCCTTGGGGGTGCAGTGGCAAGTTAATTTTGTTGTCTGTGGAATTGTTGATTTCAACTTTGGTAGGTTAGAGTTTGACTGTTGCTTGTGGGTTTCAAAGTTCGTTTTTGTCCGAAGTGAAACCTCCCTCTTTGTGTTATTTAGGAGTTGATACTGCTCTGTTCGTATGAGTTTTGTCTAAAAACTCATTTTCATAAAATCTATCGTTCTGGAAAAAAATGAAAAAAAAGTTATTTAATTAATCCTACCAAATGACCTAGAAAAAAAAAAAACTATTTATCAAATTTTTGAATCGTTTTATGTTAATTAAATAACTTTTTTTTAGCAGAGTTTATATTACTTTTTATGTAATGTGAGATAGATTATTTATTTCTTTGTTCGTAACACAATTTAATGACCCCGCAGTCATTTCACATCACGTTGTTTCTCTCTCTAAACTTCAGCTCATTTGTTTCTCTCTCTCTCTCTAACCCCGAGAGCTCTCACCTGTGTGCGCCATAAAGATAGATTCATATCCACCACTCATCTTCCCTAATGAACCCACCGGAGTTCTTCTCCAGCGGCGGCGGAGGAGACGGCAGCCGTCCCTCGCCCAGGAGGGAGCTTCAGGGTCCACGCCCCGCGGCACTCAAGGTTAACAAAGACTCGTACAAGATCCGGAAACCGCCTATTGCGCGGCCGCCCCACCCGCAGCCTCCGCCACCGGGGGATCCGCCGCAGACATCCGCGGATGATCGCCAGCCGGTGATAATCTACGCCGTCTCGCCCAAAGTCATCCACACCACCGTCAGTGACTTCATGGGCCTGGTGCAGCGCCTCACCGGCAACGGCGGGTCCGAAGGCGGGAACCTCTCTCCCGCGGCCAGGCTGGCGTCGATCGAGAGAACCAGCCCCGCTAAGGAGAGGGAAATCGTCGCCGGAGAGAGAAGCCATGGCGATTTGGTCGGAGATCTGCTGCAGGACAGCGTGGTGGAGTTAGGTAGGGTTCCGGGAATATTGTCTCCGGCTCCGGCGAGCCTGCCGCCAGTATCTGCCGGATTGTTCTCGCCGACTGCAGTGGACCCGTTTATGAGTGGGTACAACATGTTCATCCCGAGCCCGTCGACCTTGTTTTCGGTTCCCATGGCGTCGCCGTCGCCCTCGTCGTTAGATCTATTCAACCCCTTCTTTGACTTTTAGCCGAATTTTATACCTGTTTTCCCACTTTGTTAAAGCTTTTCCTTTTTTTTTTTTTTTCTAATTTAATTAATTAATTATAATTTGATGTATTGTGGCCAAATTTTTCTGCAGAGAGAGAAATGGTGGGGAGGAAAGTTCCTGTATACTACTGACCATTAATGTAAAATGTATCGGGTAGTTAGGTTGACTTTTTGAAAATTTGATTCGCCTAAATTGACCTTGAGGAAATTTGTAACTATGCAATGATTCTTTTTTTTTTTTTTTTTTTTTTTTTTTTTTGGCCTGAGATTCTATCTGATCTGGAAATCGTCAGTCTACACTCTACATATTTTCTTCATTCCTCCTTCGTTTGGGATATTTTGATCATTTGGCAATGTTTAGTAAGCCAAATAAGCTAGTGTATAGCTTATTTTAGTAGCTTATAAATTCTCTGTATTCAAATAAATCTCATTTGATAGAACGAACTTTTTAAGAAAGCTAGAACAAACTTTTTCAAAAAGCTCGAGCTTATCTCATAGGCTACTTTATGTACTTTTTCAAATAAACTAGTTGAATTTTGTATTTCAAATAGTTTATCATCTAATTTTACTAAACATTTTTATCATAAACTAACTTTTCAGCTCAAAAATTACAAATAAACTATAAGCTAACTTATCAGCTAGTCTTCTTAGCCGACTTATCTTGGTTTATCGTTGTACACGTATTGCAATCTCTGTTTATAAGGCCTACAAAGTGTAATTGCGTTTCGTAATAATATTAGAACTATCAGATTATTGTGGTCAATTCCGCAGCCGTGTGAAGACCAATATTGTGCTTGAGACAAAACCAAAAATTTTTATATCCAAGCATCGCCTTAAGTATTCGTGATGAGACAAAGACTGCTTTTTAGCAGCAGACTGATTTGATTCATTTGACTGAAAATGAACACCACACACACACACACACACACACACACAAATTATCAACCTGGTTTGGATAATGTTAATATAAGTGTCACTCATGATTTTGAGATTTTTTTTTCATGATTTTGAGATTCAAAACTGATTACTGCTAAAAGATTGCCTGGACAGTCTCTGGTAACACAACACCTAAAGAGAAGAGAGCCTATAGTTATTTGTATTTTAACTAATTGTTCAAAGTTGTGGTCGCAGCCGACCTCTGAGACCCTCCAATCAATGTTCCGACACTCTCACCCATAATTGCTTTCGAAATGTTCCCCGCCTTGTTCAAGTTAAACACCACAACTGCATGAAACCAAAATCTCATAGTTTTTATTAAATGACCAACATAATATACAAATGAAAGCATTTCTATTGTTTTTTCTTACCAGGAATGTTGTTGTCTTGGCACAGAGTGATGGCGGTCAAATCCATCACAGATAGTTCCTTTGAAATCACGTCTTGATAAGTTAGTGTTTCAAGCAGATGGGCATTAGGGTTGCGCCTGGGATCGTCATCATACACGCCATCCACATTTGTAGCTTTAAGCACCACCTCCGCATTTACTAAATCAAAACAAAATTTTTTCTTAATTATTTGTCCTTTGCCAGCTGTGATTATGTTAAGTGATAAAAAAAGTCTCACTCTCGGCACTCCGAAGGGCAGCAGCAGTATCGGTTGTGAAGAAGGGATTACCAGTGCCTGCCGCGAATATTACAACCCTTCCTTTCTCGAGATGCCTCACCGCTCGTCTTCTGATGTACGGCTCAGCAACTTCCGACATGCGAAATGCTGTCTGAACCCTTGTCGGGATCCCAATGCTCTCCATCGTTGCTTGTAGGAAAATTGCGTTCATCACAGTTGCTAGCATCCTTACAAAACATAACAAGCAAAAAAAGATAGATATATTTCAAATTAGTATGTCCATTGCAAATGGAGCTGGAAGAGTCATCAATTCTCCTGGCATAGTGCTAATAATGGACTAGATCAAAATGACTCAATTAAATTCTAGTGCTTCTTCTATTAGTGAAGTCTCTAGAAAAAAAAAAAAATAAAATACCAAACGACGCAATGCACCTTGGGTCGCTACGGAAACAACCTTCTTGTATAATTACAAGGGTAAAGGGTAAGGTCTTGCGTACAACTGACCCCCATACCCCAACCCCAACCTGTTGGGAATATACTGGGTATGTTGTTGTATATTTCAACTTAGTATGAAGCAACATGAGAATTTTGATATTACTTCTCTGGAAAAATTTTCTATTAAATAAAACCATAAAATACACTCGTTATCCTGCGCGGCTGCCCCAGAAAAATTCATTGAAGCTAAATTCATGGAGGTCCTAAAACCCACATCTACTTGATGAGCAGTAATACAAAGTGCATGTGAATAAACTATAAGCTAACAAATCAGTAGGAACAAGTATAGCTCTTTACACCAACCAGTTCAACAAGAGGAGAAACTAAAATTTGTACAGCATACATGAGGTCACAGCTGAAATATTAGTGAATGATGCTTTCATAGATTGAGATGTTAAAACCAATAACGCTATTTATTAGGCCAATACTTGCTAGTTGTGACGATCCATATGTATAACCATCACATTACAACTGTGGATGTATTTGAATCATAATGATGCATAAAATAAATGTTAGCTCAAGGAAACAAATGAGTTTACCCAATATAATCAGCAGAAGAACGGTCAAGGCCACTGCTCCCTGCCCAGGAGGCCCCACGGAAGATATTTCCTCCTCCAACAACAATCGCGACCTGAATGTTTCAGCAAGGCAAGTCAAGTGCATTTGCAAAACTGATATTAATCTGCAGAGTCATACTAAATTGGAGATCTAAATAACGAATTTAACAAGATATTTATACTATCCGGGAAAAAAAATAAAGAACTCAGGAACTGGGAATCTTATGATTTGTAGCATGACTCCACAAATCACGAGCAGTGTATGTATTTGTGTGGGGTGACAATCCTATTTCATAAACAGAGATGGTTATAGATCGTGATCGCTAAACAATCTTCACAAGTGTATGAATATAACTGAATTTTCTCAGCATATAGCTTCTAAGAGGATTACCTCAATACCAAGCCTAGTAACAGCTGCAACCTCCCGTGCAATGGACATTGTTATCTGTACAAGCATATTCAACTAAGCACAGTGGAGATAATACAAAATTTTCCAACATTAAATCTGAGTAATTTACCAACCTTTGGGTCAATATTTTGTGTCTGATCTCCTGCAAGTGCCTCCCCGCTTACCTTAAGCAAAACCCTACGCCATTTATATGATGGTTTTTGCAAGCTGCTATCATTCATTTGGACACCAAAAGCAGGCCTAGGCATTGATGAAAACTGTGGCTGCCTATAAAGTGAAAAAGAAAAAAAAAAAATGTGCTGAAAGGAAGTTACTTTGGATAGACATGTCTACCTATTTAAAATCAATTAAAACCCCTACTTAAGAAAAGAAGAGAAAATGTTACATGATTCTGACATGTTAACTTTGAAGTGTATGATATCATTACTCTCATATGTTGCAGCCAATATGAGAGGTTATTTTATTGGTGCACAAGTATTACAACATACATAAAAAGTGTCTTCCAATTCTTTACTCCATTGCAAACTGGAAAGCAAACCAAGTCATGTACTATTCTAGCTAGGAGCCAAACAAGGTTCACATTAAAGATAGCCAGATAACATAGTGAAGTTTCAGGTGAACCACGATGAAATGATAAGTCAAAATAACTGGATCCAAAGAGAATAGCCACATTTGCAAAGCTATAAAATAAATAATCAAACTGAGAACAGAACAAATTTTGGAGGATCAAACATATTCTTTGATAACTAGTAACTTCAAGCATTTTATTGGTGATGAAAGAAACTGAAGCCAAGTTTTTGCAACATCAGGATAAGCTAAATTAATAAATTAAAAATTTCAGAGTCCAAATTTTATCTTTCAAAACCAATCATAATCACTCTCCAAGAAATAAAAAAGAAAAGAAAAGAGCTATTTGCACCTAGCTTAGCTATACCACTATAGAATAAGTCCATTCTGCCTTTCAAATTTGAATCTTTTCTTACTTCATTCAGCTAAGGGCTCAATCTCCGCTGAGCAGTACCGACATTTCCTGGAGTCTCACTGCTTAGTATCTTCATAAAACTGGCAAACTTTTGTTCCATTAATAAACGAATGGACTATCTGTCAATTTCAATTACAAATGGAGTACCTACAACATTTACTTCTCAACATACTGAAAATGAGCAAATGCAAGTTATATTCTACAGTTTCAGCTTCCAACACATCATTCCGCAGTTGCTTACCACGACTAATACGATCCACCGAATAAATCCTTCAAACAAACTGAACCAAGATATGCATCAACTAAAATTATGCAGCTGAGTTGTAGAAATCTCAAGAAACACTGAACCATTAAATAATCAACTAGTAACTCAGAACAGTGCATCGATGCCCACAATTCGGAATCCGGCACTACCACTGGGAAAAGAAACAATAAAAAAAGAAGAATGCAATACCTTAAATTCATAGGGTCGGAGGGGGAACCTTCACCAGAGGAAGAGCAGCAGCTAACAACCAGAGACTGATTATATGTTTTATGAAATCCCACCACCATTGGTCCATTATTCTGACAGCTATTGATACCATTCGGTTGCAGGAAACAAGAGATTGGGGAAGATGTGGCATTGAAGGAGATAATGGGCCGGTTTAAAGCGGTCGAAAAAGCCATTCCTCGAAGAAGAAGATGATGAAGAAAAATTTCTGCAGACTACTAAAATTTCGAGTCCGATAACCGTTTTAGGTTTGCACTTTGCAGCCTAAATTGTGTGGCTTTGGGTTTGGGAACACGAGCTTTTTCCCTATCACTTCAAGGGGTTTATTCGATGCTACCCTATCAGTTCAGGGTTTTTACCTTTCTGTGTAGATTTATCTGGAATTTTGGATAGTGTTGTTCGGGAATTTGGTCACTGGCGAAAAATATCTCCTACAAAACATTCAAAATATTGTGCCAAAGGTGGCGACTTTTTTTTTTTTTTTTTTTTTTTTGTTTTTCTCGAAACGATAGATCAATATATATCATCAAGAGTACAATAATACAAATTGGAATCTAACTAGACCTAATAAAGGAGAGACACCTCCAAGAGAGTGCTCTAGAAATAAGACAACAATGAATCTAAAATAAAGACAAGAACTTGAAGTACATGTTAAGGCCAAATGCATCATTGTAATCTTTAACTTCACTATAAGCACTCCAGACCAAACACACTAACACAGCAAACCACTACTACAACAGCAACACAACCCCAACACTACACAACAATTAGAAGAAATATAAACAAACTGAGCAAAGATCCCAAGAAAGCAGACAACATCCAACTATGAAGCAGAAGCACCCACTGAAACACAAGTAACCTAGGCTCACCTCTCTTCAAACAAGATAGCAGCCAGCTAGCTCTGTTTCCTTGCAGCAAACTCCTGCCAGTCCTGCATTGCTAGCTTTGCTATACAATGTGGTGGCAGCCACTCATTTTTGAACAGCCACTGTTCGTTCCATTTTTGTCGTGTTTTCCTCGTTTATTTTGCATTTATTTTTTTCCCATTCTAGGTTATTTTCTTTGGTTCTTGGTCCATTTTGTGTCGTGTCGTGTGTTTTCTTTATTTTGCTCGTTTTTTGTTCTTTTTGTTTCTTTTTCTCGGTTTTCTGCGTTTTCCTTGGTGGTGGCAATATGCAGGTTAGGTGGTTCGGTAAGCAGCCGTGAGGTGATCGTTGTCCAAGAGTTGGAATCGAGTTGAGAAAGAAAAGTCGGAACTAAACCCCGAGTCCGGAGGAACGCGTGTCGAGCCGACGAAATTCTGTGCACAATTTCTTCGCCGCGGCCGCGGAAGAGGAAGTCGCGGCCGCGAAGAGTGCGGATCTCAGACTCAGCGTACAGAGGCGGAAACTCGCGGCCGCGGATCATGTCGCGGCCGCGGTGAACAAATCGACCAAGGCGCCCAGTTTTCTTCACCGCGGCCGCGGAGGAGGAAGTCGCGGCCGCGGAGAGGTCGAGAGCAACGAAACAGCGTACAGAGGCAAAAACTCGCGGCCGCGGGACATGTCGCGGCCGCGGACCGTCCCTTCACTGCGGCCGCGGGACATGTCGCGGCCGCGGAACGCGCGAATTCAGATTTTAAAACATCATATTTTATTTTGAAGAAGGCATTCGTTTTTGGATCTAGTTTTTGAACTCTCTAGGGATTTTCACCCATAAACTCAGATTTTCTCTTGTTTTTGATCTGGTGATTCGATCTTGGAGAGAAAAACTCCGAGATTCGACTTTTGGATTCGGTTTGCTCTTGTTTTCGACATTGGATTATTCAATCGTAAGCTTTCATTTGGTTTTATTATTGATTGAATGGCTTTGATTATTATGTTTGTTGATGTTGAATGCATGATGAGTAGCTAAATCCATTAGCTAGGGTTAGGGGAAGATCATTCCGGTTCGATTTTGTTCTTATGCATGATAATTGCTCAATCCTCTCGAGTTGTGCTTAGCCTAGGGTTTTGATGTTTGATCACCATCTTAATCTAATTAATCGATTTTATAACTGAAAAGGGAGAAGTCGTTCGCTCGTTAGGAGTAAGCTTGTTCGTAATAGTATTGCTTATGTGTTGATTGTCTCAAGAATTACTCGTTTATGTCTATCCTCTTGTTACGAAAAGTTATTGAGGATAGATCTCTAGATGAATAGTTTTGTGAGGCCTTTAACCGAGCTTTTTTTTGCTCGTTGAGTGCATTGAGAACCGGAATTGATTGACCCCGATACCCTAGCTCCTTTAAAATTATTTGCGTTTGAACTTGTGATTCCTAGTTTTGTCTAGTTTTTCCAATTACTTGCTTTTCAATTCGTAGTTGATAATATTAAACCAAATCAATCGTATTAGAGTGTTTAGGACTTTTTCATTATTTCGTGTGATTGAATATTCGCATAGAATAATCCGACTAACCTTCCTCGTGATACGACCCGGTGTCGAATCTTTGGATTCTACTCCGGTTAAAAATATTTACAACAAATTGGCGCCGTTGCCGGGGAAGGTTTAGGTTTATTTTGTGCGCCTATTCATCTTGTTTTTAGTGTTTCTCTTATTTCTTGTGATTTCTCTTGTTTCAGTGTTTCTCTTGTTTTCTTTTTAGTTGTTAGATATTAGTCCTTGTTTAATTTTGCTTTTATTTTGTTTTTATCATTGGTGCTCGTAACTCTTGTTGGTTTAGTGTATGCGTACCAGGAGTGGACGCAAATTGTTATCCCCGATCAACAAGTCAGTTAGCGAGAGCCTGAGAGAGCTGTTAGACGAGCTTACACTGGAATCCGAAGAAAGAGACCAGCACTCTCCAGAATCGTCAGAAGGCAGCAACGTAAACATGGGTGACCAACAGAAACAAGCTCCTCGTAACACTCTCCGAACCTTAGCTCAGCCGGTTATCGGGCCTGTCACTTCGTGCATCCGTTTGCCGGATCAAGCACGAAATTATGAGCTGAAGATGATTCACTATAACCAGCTGCCGGCATTCCATGGGCTCCCGAGTGAAGATCCACTTAACTTCATCCGGGAGTTCTACAATGTGCTCAACACCTTTCCTCTCAACGGGCTGAACGAGGATCAATTGAAGATGAGGTGCTTCCCCGAGACGTTGAAAGACCGGGCCAAGGCCTGGTTCATGACACTTGCACCAGCATCTCTGACCACCTGGACTGAAGTCTACACGAAGTTCATTGGGAGGTACTAATCCCACCAAAAGACTCAGGAGCTCCGGTCACAGATTGTCTCATTTGCCCAACTACCGAGTGAACCCCTTCACGAAGCCTGGGAGCGATTTAAGGATCTCCAGCGGCAGTGCCCTCACCATAATCTTTCGCCAGGACTGTTGATGAATTGTTTCTACGACTCCCTCAATCATAATTTGCAATATATGGTTGATAATGCTGCGGGGGGAGACATTGGTGCGAAGACTGCCGAAGAGATGTATGAGATTTTTGAGACGATGAGTGCCAACTCGTCTCAGAAGAGCAGTCGAGGGAAGAGAGCGGTGGTGAATGAGGCATCTCCGAGGCAAGACATGATGGCTCATCAGATAGCTGAGCTTACGGAGCAAATGAGGCTAATGAATGCTAGGACAATGCAGCCAGCCCAGACCATGGCAGTGGATACATGCGGGGCGTGTGGAGCCCAAGGGCACCGGTCAGAGGTGTGCCCGTCGACATTCGATCAGGACCTTGGAGAGCTTTATGCCGATGTCAACGCTCTCCAAGGATATCAGAATCGGCAGCCAAACGACCCCTTCTCCAACACTTACAATCCCGGGTGGAGAAACCACCCACACTTCTCGTGGTCCAACAACAACAACACCCTCCAGCCACCTCGCCCAAACTTCAACCAGCAGCAATCCCGTCCAAACTTCGTGCAACAACAACCTCGTCCCAATTTCATCCCTCGTCCCAACTACCAACAACAGCAGCAACCGCAACAACAAGCCCAAGAGTCCGGTTCGAGCTCGTCGAACCAAGATGACAAGCTGGACAAGATCCTTCAGTTCATCACCAACCAGGACTCGTCCATTAAGCGTCTTGAGACGCAAGTGGGCCAACTTGCCACGAGAGTTGGGAATATGGAGGCCGAGTCCGACAAAGGAAAACTTCCGAGCCAGCCTGAGCAAGCCAAGGCAATAACAGTGTTGAGAAGCGGGAAGGAAGTGGACAACAAAGTGAGAATGCCCGATCCTAATGGCCCCAAATCAACCGACCAACCCAAAGAGCCCGAGGAGAGTACGAAGAGCACAGAAACCGACTCGGGAAAACCAGCAGAGAGTCCTCTGCTTCACAAGTCTCAAAATCCTTACAAGCCACGCATCCCTTTTTCGAGTAGACTCCGAGACGAGAAGCAAGAGCAACAGTTCCGAGATCTCTACAACATGCTCTCAAAGGTAATGTCAACTTACCTCTCCTAGACGTGATCAAGAACATGCCTTCTTACGTGAAGTTCTTCAAAGATTTGGTCACGAAGAAGAGGAAGTTCGGAGATGGGGAGAAGGTGGTGGTTTATGAGGCAGCGAGTGCCATGCAACATGATCTTCCAAAGAAGGAATGAGACCCCGGAGGCTTTGTGATAAAGATCGCTCTGGGGAATGGAAAAGAGGCTTCGGGGATGCTCGACCTCGGAGCGGGAATTAATCTTATGCTGTTTTCTATCTTCCAGCGGCTCGGTCTAGGAGATTTGAGACCAACCCGTATGTGCCTACAACTCGCAGACCGTTCGATCAGATACCCCAAGGGGGTAGTTGAGGATGTCCTTGTTCGTGTTGGGAGACTCATTGTCCCGGTAGACTTTGTGGTACTAGATGTGGGGGACGTTCAAGAGAATGGGAAGGATCACACCATCCTTCTTGGGAGACCATTCATGGCCACTACCAACACACTCATTGACGTGAGGAATGGGACGTTAAACATGACAGTCCTAGGTGAATCCGTGTCCATTTCCGTCCGAGAAGCCACCTCGGCACCCTCGGTGAACTTTGTGGAAGAGTGTGCTTTTCTAGATGTGAGTGACCCATTCGTGGAAGAGGTTGCCGTTCGAGATTTGGAAGAGAGATTGATGCCCGAACTTGAGGAAGAGGAAGGCTCGGTTATTGAGTTGTTGGAAGTTGAAGAGCCGAGATCGATAACCCCACCAGCACTAGAGTTAAAAGAGTT